CGGGGGGGTGGGCCTGAGGGGGGCTGTGCCCCCGTGGGAAGCCCGCGCTGGAGCAGGCTCCTGGCAGGGCCTGTGGTCCCATGGGGAGGGGAGCCCAGGCTGGGGCAGGTTTGCTGGCAGGGCTGGTGACCCCATGGGGACCCACGCAGGAGCCGTCTGCTCCTGAGGGACTGCAGCCTGTGGGAGGGAGAGACCCACGCTGGAGCCGTCTGCTCCTGAGGGACTGCATCCCGCACAGGAGAAGTTGGTGAAGAACTGCAGCCACGGGAAGGACCCACATTGGGGCAGTGCGTGGGGGACTGTCTGCCATGGGGGGGGACCCCAGGCTGGAGCAGGGGAATAGTGTGAGAAGTCATCTCCCTGAGGAGGAAGGAGCAGCAGAGACAGCGTGTGATGAACTGACCCCAACCCCCATTCCCCGTCCCCCTGCGCTGCTGGGGAGGAGGAGGGAGAGAAAACTGGGAGTGAAGTTGAGCCCAGGAAGAAGGGAGGGGTGGGGGGGAGGTGTTTTAAGATTCAGTAGGTTTTATCCTCTCCTTCTCTGATTGGCAATAAATTCAGTTAATTTCACCAAGTTGAGTCTGTTTTGCCGATGACAGTAGCTGGTGAATGATCTCTCCCTGTCCTTATCTCCACCCACCAGCCTTTGGATTGACTTTTCTCTCCCCTGTCTGGTTAAAGAGGGGAGCGATGGAGTGGCTTTGGTCGGCCCCTGGCATCCAGCGAGGCTCAACCCACCACAACCCCACTCTCCCATTTCCATTCCCAGCACACTGGCAGCCCCCCCACCCTGCTCAGTCAGCAAGCAGCCCTGAGGCCGACATCAGACCGGGGCCTTGCCCTGCTATCGGGGCTACAGCAGGACCCACAGACATGAGGACAGGAAGCAGAAGCCGTCTCCCACACAGACAGTCTTGACCCAAGCCCTGACCCTTGCTGGAGGAGCATGGAAGTTTCCTGGCTCCATGGCACCAAGTGGGACCGCTCCTTGGCTGTCTGCAGGGGGAGGGGGGTGTGCCAGCCCCCCCACTGCTCTGCTGTCCTGCAAGTGCTTCAGCCAGGGTGCCTGTCACGGCTGGAGCTGCGCTCTGCCCCGTAGAGCCACGGGTCCCAGGGACAGCCAGTGGGTACGCTGCAAGGGACTGCACCTACCGGGGTGCGAGGGCAGGTCAGCCGGTGCCGCCTTCCCACCCCTCTGCCTTCCAGCACCATGCTCCAGGGGCAGCCCCGCAGAGCCGGGCCAGCAGCTCCTGCCGCCCTCCCCATCGCAGACACCTCCCGCCACAGCAGAGCTCAGGCCCCGTCCCATCTCTCTGCCCTCCGCCCCCAGGTGCTGCCCAGCCGGCTGCTGCCTGCTGCACCCCTTCTCGCTCTGCCCAGCTCCGTCCACTTCCCTCTGACTGGATCAGGGCAGTGCGGAAGGAAAAGGTGCTCACAGCACCGCTGCCTCTCGGGCACAGCACTGGGGCTACCTCCTCCTGGGACAGCTTGGTGAGCCGACAAGCCATCGGGCTGTGCCACCTACAGCACTGCCCTGCCACATCTGCCCAACACTGTGCACTCAGCACCTCATGGACGTTGCCAGCCCGCTACCGTGCCCAAAATAAAGGGGCTGGAGTCCAGGGACTGCGGGTCTCCAGGCAGAGGGCACTGCACCAGAGAGGGGCATGCGTGTGCAGGGAGTGCTGACCTCTGAGGCCAGGGACACAAAGGAAAGCCTCTACCTCCATGCTCCTGCCTGGAATCAAAGGGGACAGGCCACAGCCACCAGCGGCTCCCCCAGGAGGGACGGGCTCAGGGAGCAGAACAGCAGGGGTGGAGAAGGCCGCAGGTACAGAAATAAATCGATATATTAGTGTGTACAAAACATGCTGCTTCCTCTGTACAGTGCCCCAGCCGGGCGCGGGCTCCCCCCAGGGAGTGCACACATATATAAATAAGGCCCAGACAGCTCCAAACAGTATTTACAGTCCGCGGGGAGCTAGCGCCTGCTCTGGGGCCAGCCCCACCAAGACCAGCTGCTATGCCCAGCCCGCGGGATCCTCCACCCCAGCCTGGACTGGCCAGGTTCATTTCAGGTCCACATCGAAGTCCAGCACCAGCAGCTTGGTCTCCTCCGTGCCATTGCGGCTGCCCACCGCACACACCAGCTTGGTGTTGGAGGCACGGATGCGCCACACCACGCCCCCGCTGCCCCCGCTCTCCAGCGCCACCAGGTTGCGCACAAACTCGCCCGTCTTGAGGTCCCAGAGCTTGACGGTGCCATCATCCGAGCTGGTCACCACAAACTTGGAGCTGAACTGCAGGCAGGTCACAGCACTCTGGTGCTTGCTGGGCCCTGCAGGCAGAGGGTATCCATGAGTCTTCCCATGCCCCCCCCTCTCCCTGCCAGTCCTCCCGCGCCCCCCCCTCCAGCCCCAGGCTCTGGGGGAGCACCCACTGCTGGGCAACATCTGCCCAGCCCCTGCCACGCCTGGCAGCCAGGAGCAACACAGCCCCGCTCCAACTCCCCTAGCGAGCGGGGCCGTTCCATCCTCCCGTACACACCTTGCAGCGTCTGCAGGCACTGGCCCGTTTTGATGTCCCAGATCTTGACTGTGGAGTCGGCGTTGCCAGACACAAGGATGTTGTCACGTAACTCCATGCCGCTTGTGAGCGACTGATGCCCCATGAGGGTGTGCAGGCAGTTTCCGCTCTCCACGTCCCACACTCGAATCGACGTGTCCAGCGAGCCGCTCACGATGTGCATCCCATCAAACTGCCCAGAGAGACACAGATCAGCGCAGCCGGCCCGGAAAGGGCAGGAGCGTTCTTCGCAGTCTGGTGTCAGAGACTCAGGGCATGGCGGATTAAGTGATGTGCTCCCGTACCCCTTGGCTAACGAGGGTGCACGTGTGTTTGGCAGCGCCTTCCCTCCAGGGGACAGGCACACGGTCTGTGTTCCCAGTGCATGTGTGCAGGGGCCAGGGTGGAGGGGCAGAGAGTGTCCCCCCTGCAGGGAACAGACATGGCCTGCGCGTCCCTGCAGCGCATGCATGTGGCGGGGCGGCAGCGTCTCACTTGCTGGAACAGGCACAGCTGTGTCCTTGCAGCACACGGGTGGGAGGGTGGGGGAGCCAGGGTGTTACCTGCAAGGAGTAGACGCGGTTCGTGTGTCCCTGCAGCGTGTGAGTGCAGCTCTCGCTCTCGGGGTCCCACACTTTCACCGTGTAGTCGTACGCGCCGCTCACCACCTTGTGCCCATCATACTGCACGCAGCGCACGGCGGCCACATGCCCCATCAGCACGTGCAGGCACTGCCCCGTCTCGATGTCCCAGAGGCGCAGAGTCGCGTCCCGTGAGCCGCTCACAACCCTGGGGGCAAGGGTGCACTTGGAGCCCGACTGCCAGCTCTG